GGGGGTGGGGCAGGGGTGGAAGCTGATCTGGCCCCCAAGTTTGTTGGGGGTGGCAGAGGAGGCTCAGGGAGAGCCTGAGGTGTGTAGAGACCAGGTCAGGGCTGGGATGGGGACCTGGGCTTGGGGGTGTGAGGGGAGGATTTGGGGCAAAAATTAGGGCTGGATGGGCAGGATGTGTGGGGTGGTGGAGCTGGGGGACACAGGCAGTGCTGGGGAGAGGCAGAGCATCGCATAGGGGTGGAAGGACACCCTCCCAAACCATTGCCCTGGGTGCGTGGGGGGGATAAAGGGTGGGCAGCAAATGGGACAGAGCAGCTGGAGCCTGGGCGGGCAATGGGAGCTGGGCAGCAGGTGCTGGGAGAGCACAGACACCCCTTTGTGCTCGGTGGGTTTGTGGGAAGGGGTGTAACGGAGCAGGGGGTTGCTGGACACCCTGGAAAGCCCTTCTCGTGTTTCCCAGTGAAACACAAGCTGTAGGAGGAGGGAGAGGGTGCTGGTGCTGCTATTCTTTCCCAGCTAGGCTGGGCTCTGCTGCTTCTTAAAGGGTTGAAGGATTTTTCCTACTCCTTGGCTTTCCCAAAGCAGCTGACTGCACTGAAGCTCCTCTCCAGAGGAGATGTGCGTGTTGGGCAGATGTTGCACTGTGGATCTCACTGTCCCAGTGTCCCTGTCAGCACTGAAGCTGAGCCCTGCCTCTCTCCAGAGCTTTGCTTTGGTCTCGTTGCAAGTTCAGGGTCTGAGTCTGTGTCAGATGACAGTTTTCAGTTATTTCCCTCTGCTTCCTTTAAAAAAGCCCCAAACTTTCTCTTGGCGCTGCCCTCGCAGTCTCCTGACCATCCCTTCTGTCTCCTCCTCCCTTCTCCAGGGCAAACCTTGTGGACCTTCAGAAGAAGCTCGAGGAACTGGAGTTGGACGAGCAGCAGAAGAAGCGCCTGGAAGCTTTCCTTACTCAGAAAGCCAAAGTTGGCGAGCTGAAGGATGATGACTTTGAGAGGATCTCCGAATTGGGGGCTGGCAATGGCGGGGTGGTCACCAAAGTGCAGCACAAACCCTCAGGGCTCATTATGGCACGGAAGGTAATGAGGGGAGGAGGAGGAGGAGGAGTAAGAGTGGGCTGTGGTGTTGTGCTGGAGGGGGTCTGGCACTTGCCCTGGCTTTGGGGGAGCCGGCTTTGGTTGGAATCTCTCTGAAGATTGTGACCCATCTGCACCCAACCTGCATTTCTGGGGTCAGGACCGAGGTCCTGGGTGCCCCCAGCCAGGTTTTAGGTGGAGCCTCTCCCTCTTCATCTCCAAGCTGCTCTGCCTGTCTCCAAGCTCTGCCCTGAGAGAGGCTGTGCTCTCTGCACCAGGTTCCTGTGTGCCTTGTGTGAAAACAGAAGTTTGTTATTTATTTTTTTTCCTCCAGTGAAGCTGGTTTTAATGAACTCAGCTCAACTGGATAGAAGCAGATCTCTTGGGGCTCCTAGGTGGTGGCTAATGAGGACTGGAAAGGCAGGTGGAGGGATGGGTTTGGCGCACACACATTCCTTGCCACCCACTTAACAGGTCTCCAAGGTGGTTCCAAGCGGTGGTGACAGTGGTTCATCTCAGATGTGGATTTATAGGTGACATCTTCTGCTGTGGTGCCCTGCAGTAGAAAATGAGGAGATGCTTCATCTGCATGTTGGAAAAGGCAGTGCTGGGCGAGAACAGCGTGACTGCTCATCTGCAGGATGGCTTCCTTGGAAGTCTCTGGTCTCGTCTGCTGTTGGGATGGTTTAGTGGGTCTCATGAGCAAATCTGATTCTCTGGGTGGCTTCGTCCAGAGCTGAGATCTCAAAGTCTTCCAGAGTGTTTGATTTGGGAGTGTTAGGTATCGGTGGGTGGTTTTGAGATTGTTGGGAGCTCTGTGTTCACAAACTGAAGCAAGGGCCAGCTGCAGCGTGGGGCGGCTCGGCAGAGACTGTGAGGACAGACGTCCCTGGGGTTGGGTGTCCTGGAGCTTACAGTAATGGCAGCTCTTTTTTCTGACCTGCCATTGTCTTTCCTTGCCTCTGGCTTCCCTACAGCTCTGTTAACTGACTACATGGAGCCCAAGGAGTAAAGTAACTGCTCTTTCACATGCATAATCTTCATAGTTTTTTGTTGTTTTTTTTTACTTTCTGTGGTTTCCTTGATATCAGAGCACCTCTTCTTACAACACCTCCAGAGCTTGTGAAAGTGTTCCCGTCTGCTGAGTCAGACCTGCATCAAACTTCTGACTTGTCTTTCCGCTCCGTGTCCTGTGCCATCTCCATGTGTTCTGTGGCTGCTGGTTGCCTCAGTTACTGACAAGCTCCACAGGGCTCTGCCTCTCCCTTTATCCCTAATTTTGGTCTGCAAATAGTAAAAAGTCTATGCCCAAGCAGAGCTAGCTTCCCTTGAAGATGTTTTTTTTTTTTATTCTTTCCAATGCTCAGGACTTGCTCACCTGGTTCCTCTTAAGTTTTTCCAGGTGTCTCACCTGGAATATTTCTTTCTTTCTTGGCAGCTGATTCATTTAGAAATCAAGCCGGCCATCAGGAATCAGATTATCCGGGAGCTGCAGGTGCTGCACGAGTGTAATTCCCCGTATATCGTGGGTTTCTATGGAGCCTTCTACAGTGATGGAGAGATCTCCATCTGCATGGAACACATGGTGAGTCCCCGTTCCTTCTCTGCAAACTGCTGCTCCTCAATCTATTTCTCCTCCGCTCCTAAATCTATCTCCCCAGGACTGGAAATTGCTGGTGAAACGGGTTGGGGCGCTGACAGCCGCCATGGTCCTTGCTCTGGCTGCAGGGAGGCCACCGTGCTCCTGGCAGGAGCTGCAGGCTTCTGCTTAGATGTCAAAATGACAGAGAGATCGACTTTTTGGAAAGCGGAAGCAGAGGTTTGGGGGTTGGCCAAACGGAAATGTTGTAAACCTGCCTCTCTGCAGAGCTCTCTGTGAAGCACAGAGCGCGTTTTCTGGTGTCTCTGGCAGAGAACGGGGTTGTCGCTCCTCCAGATCAGCGCTGACCGTATCGCCTTCGCCTTTGCCACTAGGGGAAAGGAAGCCAAGAACTACTACAAGAAGTAGAGCTGATGGAAGATAGCATTAAAATAGTTTTCAGCAGGAAGCTTGAGCTCTGATCACCAGATAATTATTTATTTTTATAATTTTTTTTTTCCTCTGTAAAAGGAGCATGCTTGATGCTGAGTTGTTGGAGGCGGTTGAGCTGGGATGCTGTGTACTGCTGATATACTGCTTGCCCTCCCTGGGCATGCTTCCCTGTACAGCC